AAACTACCGGCCGGCGATTCACACTGGCGCGGAATCATTCCAAAGGCTCTACTAAGGTGGGTTGGACAAGTGGACCAGTGGACAAGTGGAAGGCACAACCGCGATCGCCATTGCGACAGTTGTGAAACGCAGCCACAAATGCGCGAAGACTTTGCGACGGGGTTGACTGAAGCTGTAGGGAAATATATGAAGAAAAAAAAAAAAAAAAGATTTACCGCAACTACGCAAATTGTGAATGTCGTATGAAAGCCGGTCCTGTGGTTGCCGAAAATGCTCTTTTTCTCACAGGCTACATCTAACAAGATGGCAGGTCTTGAGGAACCCAACACATGATCCTACACAAAACATCTCGTGTCCACAGTGCGGCAAAGTTTGCGTAAACAGATATCACATTTTAACTTCGATCGCATTTATAGTCAGTTTGCAGATATCCCCTCTTCTTTTTTCTATCCTTAAACGTTTGATCATATCAACTCTTGACAAAAATCAACATAAAAATACGAAGACCTTAACAGTCGTCCACTTTCACTCTATGTTGTTGAAAAAAGTGAGAAAAAATGCCTCCAATTCAGACATTGTGCACGGGCTAACCGAAATCTGCGGATAAACTGCTACGTGCCCTTAGCTCTCCCTAACGACAGTCGACTGACATACATGTTTTTCTAGTTTAAGTTGAGAACGCGTAAGTTACATGTAGCTACATAGGCCTATTTTATTAGATAGGCCTATTTATTTAGATGCAGCTGATGAAAAAAAAGACGAAAACAATACAAAACAAATCCAGAAAAAATCCCTTCATTTCAAATTAAATTTTTGTCCCTTTTTTTATTTTCCAATTTAAAGATGACGTTTAAAATCTGTTAAAAAGACCAATGGTCATGTTCATTTAACAGTCCTATTATACACCACAGATATAGTTGTTATAGGACAATATCTTGGGATGTCTACCCTAGGTTCTAGATTCCGGTATTGCCAGCTCGATCTTGATTTCATATATAACCCATATCAACAATAGTAAAAGCGACTCCATCACAAGGTATATATTTAACAAGCTAGCTTTTACGTTGCTCTGACACTCAGGGTAGGGATGTCAGGATATCTACCAAAATTAATTCTTTAAAATTCTCCATAACAAAAAATGAACCAGACGAGACAAAATTTCGTTAAGTTGAATAACGAGCAACCCAACCTAGTATTGAGGATTTTTTTTTAACGAAAAAAAAAAAAAAAGAAAGAAAGAAAAAAGGCGTTGGTTTGCTAGGCCTACGTGGGAAATTTTACAATTAGTTTTTCAGACAACAATATTAAATTTGCTCATTTGAAGTTGGTGAGACTGAGTATAGGCCTATAGGCCTAATATTTGTGATCCACTATTTTGAGTTTCGCGACATCTCCGGAATGATTTATAATTAATGGTTGAGGGTAGATATAGGGCCTAAATAGGGCCTCGTACAGTTTTAAGAAATAGGCCTACAAATTACCTAAACTAGGCTTAGGCCCTATAAAATTTGCGGTAGGTCCCCTTTCATGAGTGTTTGTTAACAGAAACATTTGCTGAACAAAAAAGACAATCAATTGTTCATTTACCTATCAGAGCATACTTTTTAACGTTAGTTCTAATGTTTATTTAATTACATTGTATTCATACATGTAGGCTCTTTCATCCTTTAGGTCTGCTAGACTATCTTAATACTGAGGGGTATATTTTGTAAATTATTTTTCTTTTAGATCGTTCCGCAACGAAATTGGGGTTTGAGAAAATGCATTATAGAGAGCAGACCCCTCTTAAATCAATATTATCCTAAGAGAGTTAGGATAGCCCATTGAAAAACAGTGAATCACAAGTAACATTGCACAACTCGTTTAGCCTAGATGTGCTGAATCATGGAAGTCGTCACTGCGCAAGCGCCATGACCCAAACCTTGACCTCATACCCACAGGCTTAGAAACATAAACCACTACTCGCAGCAAGACGGTGAATTCTAAAAATCCGCTGTGAGGGTTAAGACGATCCATTAACACAGGTTGCCCAGATGGGTCTACTGTCCGAAGGGACGCCGCTGTCATGGGAAGAGACCAAGGCCAAAGCCGATCACGTACGAGAACATGGAATCACCCAGTTCATTAATCTCTGGAAACGACATAAAGATGTGAAGAAGGACTGTTTACTTTGGGGCGACGAGGTAGGTAGATGAAAGGGATTTTCGCTGTTGTGAAGTGTGATTGCAAAAGTAAAAACGCCCTGGGCGTTCGTGACGTGTCAAGGTCTCAGACTGCATAAGCTTGTCGATTTAATGCGTGTTATAATTGACAATTTTGGTACTGTATTCATAGTAAATATAGAGGCCCATCTCATTTAACTATAGGAGGAATATAATTTTGTGTTCATTTTTATTATATATTTCAATATCTCTAGGTTGAGTACACATTAGTTCACTTGGACCACGAGAACGAGAAGAGCAGTCTGCTACTTAAGGGAGACAAAGTTTTACACGTGCTACAGCAACAAGAGAGAGAAAACCCTGCGTAAGTTTTGGGAGCTTGTGATAGGATTAAACGTTTGATGATTGGTTTTGAAACACTCAAACACAGCCTGCAAGGTTTTATATTGGTGCCATTCCAAATGGTAAGTCTGATTGGAGCAGGGCCAGGAAAATTGTGCAAATTTATAGTACTGTTATACTGTCCACTGTCTTTATATAGCTTTAGACCAGTTCTTCATGTTGTAGGGGTTGACAATAATTTAGTAAAAACCCCTAAAGCAATTTTTTATTTGTCTTATATTATCTATTCATTTGTTCTTGGATGGGGCTGAGAGGGGTCAGGGGATTTTGAGTCAATCCATTAATCTATTTAGGCAAGTAAAAAAAACCTGGGCAGGAAAATTGGGGAAAGCACTTACAGTACACCAAAGACAAATACACAGATCCCTTATTACCATCCTCTGGCAAGTAGACTGACTAGTAGTATTAAGACTGGTGGCGTTAAGAGTTTTTGGCACAGCCTGTAGATAGGTAAGGGCAGCTTTAAAATGGAAAGGAGCCTAGTGGAAAAGACCAGTTGCTAGTAGATCTTTCTTCTTTCTCAGTACTAGTAGGCAATTTATAAGATTATACATCCACAGCATCAGTTATACTGGCCACTGTTTTTTGCTTTGGGGCTGCTAGAGTAACACCATTACATAAATAAATAGATTAATGTACTACAGTTGTCTGGGTTGTGCGTCTATCACCTGTGACGCAGAGCTAAACAGGACTTACAAGGGGCTGTCTGTATCAGGGGCCATTCAGAAAAGATGATCCAAGTATTAAGTGATCCGCCGACCAAATATGGCCGGTTTCAGAAGCGATGCCGCTAATCCCATGATGGTCTCCCCGCCTCTACATGCGCCGTCGCTGTGGGGCCTAGCAATCAAACATCGGAGCCGAGATTTAATCCGTTTAATGGCACATGTGGAGGCAGGGAGACCATTAGAAATCAGCGACATCTCTTTTGAAGTGTGGTCGGCCACATTTAATTGGTGGATCAGTTAATACTCGGATCATATATTCTGAATGGCCCCGTATAGTTACTAGTAGGGTAGGCCAGCGGAGAAAGCGCCTGCTAGCACACAGTTTTAAATTGCCTGCTTGAACGATACCATACAGATTTAAATAGGCATATGGTTGAATGCTCTAAGCCTTGGAGTAAAATTAGAATCAAGAACATATTTAATTCTTGTGCTTACTTGTTGACTAAACATTTGGTCTAAAAGCTGAGATCAGTTTTAAGTCAGATGTCTTAAATTTTTTAAAAATTGATCAATGCTTTTTTATAAGCAGTGAGAAAAGGGGAAAGTTTGACTAACTTGAAGTCTAGACTCGTGTTTCATCATGTATGCATAAAATGGAGCCGTCTAAATTAGAAGTTAAGATCATGGGTAGACAATGGTAGTCAGGTTAAAAAATGCAGTCTGTATTTCAACATGTATATACTGATGGGTTCTCTAAACAACTGACTTTGGTAATTAAAGAAAAAATTGAATACCACTGATTTTTTCATTATTTTTGTCCGAGAAAAGGTTCTATGAAAACGAGGCACTAATGTATCTATACACAAATATGAACTTGGATACTGTTCCATATATGGTTATTACTTATAATTTCAAATTTCTCATTTAAAAAAAAATTCAGCAATTTAATTCAACATTATCAGACACTTACAAAAGTAAACTGGCTAATACATAACCAACTCGCTTATTAAAACTATTTGTACGGTATTTAAGATGATTTCTAAAAGTCAGTCGTACTTAAACAGCAAAGGTAGGCAATCTTTACAGACATGCTGAAAACTTTTCTGAATGGCCGGACATTTGTACCGTCAGTAATGAAAAATTTGCTGGACCGCATGGATTTTTGTCGGACCAAAAATCACCCTTTCCGTTTGAGACAGATACTACCAGTACTATTAGGGTAGCTTACTTTGTTTGTGAAGCAGTCTAAATTCAAAAATGCTGCTCTTAAAACTCTTGTCGGTCTTTTGGACAGACCAAGTCCAATTTTTTATCTGTCCAGACAAATTTCCCCAGTCATGACCGATCGGACCGACAGTTTCAGCATGTCTGTCTTTATTATTGTGAAATGATAAACACATTTAGGACATGAAAAAAAGGGAAAGGAAGGGAATTTTCTTGGTTAAAATATTATCAGTTATTTGGTTAGTGGTGAGCAGTACAATGTATGTTTATTGAAGAGATATATACATATGCATCTGAGCTTTTTATTGTCAAAACTATCTATTCATCTAGAAACTTTGTATGTAAATAAAATTGAATCATATGTTTTAGGGTACTGGTGATTCTTTTAATAGGGAAAATGTGGACTTTTGGTTTCATGATTTCATTTTATTTATTTATTTATTTATTTATTTATTTATTTGCATTGGAAACTCAAATTTACCAGTTTCTGAAAAGAAGTCATATGAGTTTTGGTAGTATTATCAAGTTTATGAAAAAGAATCATGATAGCTTTTGATTTTATTTTCAGTTTTTCTGAATCAAGAAAAATCTGAACATTAGTAAAACAGTGCTGCTTGAATGGGCTCATGCCTTTCATTTTATTTATGAGCATCTTCTGTCTTTGCAAAATCATGAGCAGATTTTTTTCACTCAGGTGTTTAACTGGTGCATGTTTGAACGTTTTAACAGCAATGGAAATAATTTGTATGTCTAGACTAGAAATGTTACTAATTTAAAAACATGCAATTCATGCATGCCTTTTAATAACCTGGGAAAATTTAATCTCTACCTTCCCTTCAGAATGATTGCCTCTCCTAAAAATTTTATCTAAACTTCTTGAGAGAAACTTGTCAAGTAACAAATAGACAAATCAAGGATGGTTCAAAATACCTACTTTTGTTGAATGAACTTGAAGTAATTTTAAATAACAGTCCGGTATTCAATTTTGCTGAATCATTCTAATACCAGATTGTGTTGTTTATTTTTCATTTGTCATCATGATGTAGCAATTTCTTTTCTTTTTTTATTTCAGCTTGGTTGTAGGCAGTTTTACTGGATTTTTCCTAAGCTTGATTTTGAATATGACTTGTTACTTTTGCTCCCAGTTTCTAATATGATTATATTTTGCCTTTCATCTTAATTCTCTCTCTCTTTTACTCACACACACACACACACACACGCACACATGCACGCACGCAAGCATGTACACACACACATACACCAGAGGCAGATTCACAGATATATTTTGATGGTCTTTTAAATTATTTATTATGACCGTCTTCCGAAAGAAAAAATTAGATCCCTTTCAGTGTAAACTGGAAATTTCTAACCTTCTTCCAGAAGATGACTTAATCCACCCCTGTGCACTGTAACAGCAAGAACTCACCTCTCTCTCTCTCTCTCTCTCTCTCTCTCATATAACATGACTTCTCACAGCTTAACATTTTAAACTGCTACCACACAGCTGTATAATATAAGCAGGTCATCTTCAAGTGGCAGGTTGTCCATTAGGACCAATATTTATAATGGAAGTAAACTTTGTAATATTTGCTAATGTCCTGTACCTTTCAGTGTTGTTGAACCATGAGTTCATTGAACCAAGGATAATCTCACCTTAAATGCCTTGGTTGTATAATAGAGACATGTTTGCATTTGTGATGGGTAGATCTTTTTCCTTATAAGAAGAATACGACAACAACTCCATCTTTTCAGTGGGGAAATATTGTGCATTTTACAGGCACAAAATTTAGAGGTCTCAATTTGTTTTAAAAAATTAGAATATTCCTAATGGCTGTTGGCTACAAAATGAAAAGCCAGGCTATTCTAAAGTTCTATTCTATATAGTAAAAGCACCAGAAATGCTATATAGAAATATAATTTTTGTAGTATCTGAAAGTTAAAAAATTTTGGCCCATCGAGTCCTTAACGTATAAGAAGAATCCACAACTTGCCTGCATGGGGCCTAAGGTAAACCTGACAGACTGCAAATTTATTTTAATTTAAAAATGACAAATTATGTTCATGCATTATGATAAAATGATAGTGATATTATAAAAGTGTAGATAATATTAGAGAGGAAAGGAACCAAAAGTGGTGTTTTTTTTAACTAAAAAGAGAAAAGCAGACCATAAATTTTGATATACATGTACAATATAACAGCCTGATACGTGGTGTTCAATTCATTATTGGGCCTTTTATTCTTGAAATCTAGCATAGCATAAGTGGAAGATGGACCACTTATCAGCAAGGGGTATCGTTCATCAACTGAAGCTTCATATGTTCTATCACGTACACCTTGTTAGCTTGTGTTGTAACTTGAATTAATTACCTAGTCTATGTCATAGATCAAATACCAGTTGCGGAACTATTTTGCATATAGCTACTAGTAGGCAGTGTTTCATATGACTGAAGTTAAGCACTGTGTTGTATTTCATGTAATCATACATGCCTACATGTATCTTCATTCTACCCAAAATGTAGCATGGCTCGGGCCAATATTTTTTGGTCAAACTGTAGTTTGAAGTTGATAAGATAATCATGAGTATATATCACAAGTTTTGTGATGAATTTGTCTTCTATAAACATATATTTAATAATATATTAATATCATTTAATGATGAATGTAATTTGTTCATATTTTTGCAGGGACAATATGGCAGCAAGAAATAAAAATAATTTTAAAAAAGGAAAAATCTTCCATAATAAACAAATTTTGCTCATATTTTTTCAGGGACCTAAAAACAATATGGCGACCAGAATATGCAAATTACATGGTGGAGGGGACGCCAGGGAAACCATACGGTGGACTGATGGCTTACTTTAATATGGTGGAGGCCAACATGAGAAGAAGGTTAATTTTGCTTTTAGATAACTTTTCTCGTTTTGATATTTCATGAAAGATTATGTTGACTATTCATCAGAATCAGTACACTTTATACATTGTCTTATGTATTTCCTATACATTTCATTGGAAAATGAATATATATACATTCTACGTAAGATAAATTACTAAGAAGAGGAAAAAAATTCATTAAAAGTTGTCGTTGTCTTTTGTAAAAAAAAATTATAATAGTATCTGTTATAAATTTATAATAAAAAAATCAAGAGGATCAGGTAGAAAACCAAGGTCGGCAAATATACATTTTGATCATATTTGTATTATAGGAGAAAGGAAGTGATGAGACTTCTGTCCGAGCCGGGAGAGACGGCCCTCTCTGTTGTCACATTTCCAAGGTAAGGAGATCCGTAAATGCTTCTCATTCATTTTCATGACAGACACCACATGACATTCACTGCCTTGTGATTTATTTAATTTTATTCCACGAGTGATGTATCGAACAATGGGATAATTGCTCTCGTATGTTGCTTACAAGAAATGCACATATACATATTTATATACGCTTCAGTATAAATACAATGAAATACAAGTGTGGTTATAGTGTTGTTTGAAGCAGTAGTTACAAGCATTTGTCACCGCAACCACTGTATTAGGGAGGGGGGGGGGGAATGGGGGGATGGGACCATCTTGGGGAGGGGCTTTTCGGGGAGAATCGTTCTTGAATCATGCAGCATAAAAGAATGTAAGTATCATGGCTACACCTTGAGGATTAAACTATTGTATAATGCATACACTGGGTACAGGGGAAATGCATACCATTTCTAAATTTAGCTGACCTCAGCTGTCATTTTTCAGCACAGTTATAATGGAGTATGTAATACAAGATACGCTGGGTGTTATAAATTTTCAAATGGCCTACATTTTCCAACTTGGGTCACTCTATTTTTAACCAGTCTGTTTCCTATAACCTACTTTTTCAGGTTGGTTTGACCTTATTTCAGTCAGACTGTTTCCAATAATCTACTTTTACCCAGCTTGGGTCACTGTATTTTTATCCAACCTTTTCCAATATTAAACCTACTGTTTTCCATTTTTTTCTTCACTTTGAGTTTTTATCCAGTCTGTTTTTATGACCTACTTTTCCAGGTTGGGTTGCCCTAATTTCAGCCGGCCTGAGTTTCAGCCCACACCCACAGAGGGCGCCTCTAGGTCTTTATTTTACCCTGAAGAGGTCATCTTTCCAGGACACCCCCGATTCAAGTAAGAATTTGTAGGTTAATAAAAATTAGTTAGGGTCTATGTCAATAAATACATAAATAATAATAATAATAATAATAATAATAATAATAATAATAATAATAATAATAATAAAACAAAGCATATTGTTCTACTGACCCACATGGTTACTAGGTTTTTAGTAGTTAAAAAAGAACTTTGTATCAATAAATGAAGGGTTTACAAGCTTGAAGTCCTTTATTATGGTATCTTTTCCAGATATTGTATAGGATTAAATAAAGATATGACTGTAATGTTATTATAGGACCTTAACAAGAAACATCAGACAGAGAAGGGGAGAAAAGGTAGCGATTAATATTCCAAGTAAGTTCAGTAAACCTCTAAGGGACCATTCCCAAACTCTGTCGTACTAACTGTGGATTGATCTGTCTCTGAGGACTAACCCCAATATGGCGATATTGTAATACATATACCTGTACAAATTACACTGTATCCTCTGCTTGACGTTTTAGTATTCAAAGACAAAAAACACACCAAGTCTTATCCTAGAGGACTTATCACAATATGCCGATATTGCAATATATGTACATTTACAAATTAATTAATATTTTTCTTGTTTCAGTTTTCAAAGACAAAAACACACCAAGTCCTTTCCAAGAGGACTTATCCCAATATGGCGACAGCGGGGAGTCTCAGGCGGCCTCCCTGCCTGACCACATCTACCTGGATGCCATGGGCTTCGGGATGGGGTGTTCTTGTCTCCAGATGACATTCCAGGCGTGTAATATAGACGAGGCACGACACCTTTACGACCAGCTTGCGCCGCTTTGTCCTATCATTGTAAGTTTGTGTGTATGCAGGCATGTGTGTGTGTGTATGTGTGTGTTTGTGTGTGTGTGTGTGTGTGTGTGTGTGTGTGTGTGTGTGTGTGTGTGTGTGTGTGTGTGTGTGTGTGTGTGTGTGTGTGTGTGTGTGTGTGTGTGTATTTGAGAGAGAGAGAGAATGAGAGAGAGCAGGTGGCAACATATGTGGATACAAGCAGGTCTGTGATAATTCTGGAAAATGGCTGTGTGTGTGTGTATGTGTGTGCATGCACATGCATTTATGCATGTGCATTCAGGTGTGCACAAGCACACTTGCTTGTGTTGGTGCGCGGCACTTCTATTTGAGAGAGAAAGAGAGAGAGAGAGAGACAGGGATTAGAAACATTTGCGAAGAAGTTCCGCCTCAATCATGAATCTTCACTTATCAGAATTTCCCCACATACTCAGTTTTATAATTCTATAATATATTTTTGTTTAAATTTTCAGATGGCCCTCAGTGCTGGTTCACCAATCTACAGGGGTTTTCTGTCTGACATAGACTGCCGCTGGTTTGTGATCTCCAACTCTGTAGACTGTCGGACAAGAGAGGAGAGAGGCCTGGAGGTAGGGACTGTTCACAGCGCCATCTATTGAGTGTTTTAAGCACCATTTTGCCATGAAGGCTATCATATATCACCCTGTTGACAACCATTTGTATATGATCATTAATATGATAATTGTTAATTAATGATTAAATTGATAATGAAATTAATCATGAAATTGCTAAGTATCATATTAAGTGAATGTGCCAGTGGTTACAGTAAAGCTTACTGTGAAATGAAGATGAAATGAAAATGGATACAATCTTTATTTTTCATTTGAATGTGGAGGTTGAGTACAATATGTACGCTTGTAGAAAAAAAAAATTGTTTAAGTTACTGACAAGTCGAATAAGTTATTATCACATGTTTATATGCTTTATCTGTTACAGTAATTTATGTAAAGCTTGATATAGTGCTACCACTTTAAAATGTTTGATGAAAGTGTAGAAACAGCTTGAACTTGCTTGATTGTAGTGTGTTCTTTGCCATGCTTCAGCCCCTCCAGAAGGACAGATTCAGGATACATAAGTCACGTTATGACACAATAGACTCTTATTTGGGACCGTGCAATGCGTGTTATAACGACATCGACATGGTTTATGACAGAGACATATGCAGCAGGCTCAAGGCAGCAGGTGATTGATTGATCAGTTGATTGATTGATTTATTGATTGTCTATTGATTAATTGGTTGGTTGGTTGGTTGGTTGGTTGACTATTTTTTTGGTAGGATGATGATTACACAAACGGGAGAAACAGACATCTGAATAAAAGAAATAAATAGGAATTTTGAATTTTGATTGTGATAAAGTAAGTAATTTGAATTATATTATATTGTTTTGTATTGTATTGTATTGTATTGTATTGTATTGTATATCTGTTTCAGGTGTGGATGAGCTGTTGGCAAGACATGTGGCCCACTTATTTATCAGGGACCCCATCTCATTATTCAGTGAGAAAATTGACCAGAACGACGAGGAAGAAAGTGATCATTTTGAGGTAGGAGCTATACTGTAGGCCAGCAGCCAGAAATTTAATTTTTTTTTTCTGAAAAAATCGACCTTGTGTCCCATCTTAGTTGACCCACCTTAAGAAATGGCATAAAACCTGGTAAATTTAATATTGATTCATAGTGGACCTTTTCTGTTCTTTCAACCCCTACCCCCTGGCTATGGGTATGTACTGATCGTCATCTCAAAGTAACATTGGCAGTTTGAAATGCAGGTTTCAAGTGTTTGTTTGTGAGTCTCATTAATTTTTGTTTGATTTTTAGAACATCCAGTCCACGAACTGGCAGTCCATGCGCTTCAAGCCACCGCCTCCGAACTCTGACATTGGCTGGAGAGTGGAGTTTAGACCCACCGAGGTAAGGATCAATATATAGTGGTTAAAGGCTAGCAATTAGATAATTTAATATATTTTTCATTATTATATCACTTTTATTTTTTAGCACTTAATTTGTCTGCTGTTGAGCTCATTTTGATGATTACAAAAAATATTATTAAAAATATCCCTCTTTAGTTTTTTGATAATTCATAATATTTTATCATACTCATGTCTTTTACACTACATGCACTGAAAATGAAAAACTGTATTTTACTCCAGGTCCAGCTTACAGACTTTGAAAATGCAGCCTATGTGGTGTTTGTGGTGCTGCTGACCCGAGTGATCCTGTCTTTCCATCTGAACCTGGTGATACCAATATCTAAGGTATAAAGTGCAGGCCTTTGTTTGTTATTATAGTGCATGTGTGTGTGTGTGTGTGTGTGTGTGTGTGTGTGTGTGTGTGTGTGTGTGTGAGAGTGGGGTGGGGTGTGGCTGCTAGTGATTACATGTTGTGTTGATATAAATTCTGAATAATTCAAGATTATATATTTAAATATTTGGTGCACACTTTTGTAAAAAATAAAATAGGTAATGATGTATGGTGGAATATAGGTCCATGGAGCTGGGTATGTAATCTTTGTTACAATAAAAAAATAAATATTCTGTAGACTGTTTATGATTTACTAGGTGTAATCTACTTAAATGAACCTCTTATAAGTCTCTTTTAGTTGATGTTTTTATATTGGAAATAATTCAGTGATGACAAAGAGGTTTTTTGTTTAAACTTGGAACATTTCAATTCCAGGTAGATCAAAACATGAAAACAGCAGCCAAGAGAGACGCTCTACGCCAAGGAAAGTTCTACTTTAAGAAAGACTTGCTGACAGGTGAGTGTTTACATGCTACCACTTAAACCAGTGCAGGTTCAGGTCTAGATTGTGTCACTGGATGACTAAGTGATACTACATTGCAGAGGTGAAGTGTAAATTCTCCATAGACTTTCCTAAGTTGTTTTTAAAGTCAGTTGCTAACTCTTTAAGTTAGGCCATTGCCTAACGTGCCAAAAGAGGGGTAGGTAATTATCCTTTTTTATCAGATAAGTTTTGACAATGTATTTGATTTTACAGGCTATTCCCCTCCCAAAGCCTCCGAGTGCATCTGTAACTGTCCCTGTGGCAACGTGGACATAAGTCGCGCAGTGGATGCAGAGGATGAATACACCGAGATGACCATCAATGAGATCATTAATGGAAAGGTAAGCAACAATTTATAAACATGTTTTTGGCTTTATTACTAGGTGCATAAGATATAATTGCTTTTTGGACAGTTCCAAGTTAACGACTGATGAGCAACACGTAAAGTATAAGTGATTTTCAGACAGACATTGATGGATGACACTTCTTTGTCAAAGACTGACTTAGATCAAATATTAATTCTCTGAACTGGTTATTAGTGTCTAGCTCACATGCCTGACAATTGTGCCTGACTAAACAAATATTGAGGAAAATGACCATGATAATGAAACACAGAATGAAAATTTCAGTAAACTAGACAGGAGAGAGGTCTTTGATGTTTATAATACATGTGGAGTTTTTTTTTTGTTTTTTTTTTAAGGAGGAAGATGGCTTTCCTGGTCTGGTGCCTCTAATGGAGGCTTATCTGACAAATATAGAGACGCTGGATGTGGAGACAAGGTGTACAATTTCACAGTACTTGAAACTGATCAGTAAAAGAGCAGCAGGTCAGTGAGTCTCTTCTCCCCTCCCCCCCCCTCTCTCTCTCCCCTTCTCTCTCTTCTTAGCATTTTATTATTTCAAGATTTATATATATATTCCTGTCTTTCAATCTCCTTCTCTCCCTCTCTCTTTGTGTATTTCATTTGATGAGATGAAAGGAGAAAGCATAAATAGATAATATGATCTTATCATGCCTTTCATCTTTATTCCCTCTGTCATTCCCTCTCTTTTACACACACTGCAAATACAAGAACTCTCTCTCTCTCATTTGATCTGATGATAGAAAATGTTTGGGAGGAAACATTGCTTTTGCAAATTAGTAAATACAGGCCCGTAGCCAGGGGGGCTCGAAAGAACCACCCTTTTTGCTGGGAAAAGGTCCACTCTAGGTAAAATTAGATCTATGTACTTAAGGATTTTATGGTAAAACCATAAAAGGTCCACTTTTTCAGAAAACGACTCCCCCTCTGAAATTGCTGGCTACAGGCCTGATATTTGATAAAATAAAAGTTCTATTAAAATAACCTCCATGCAAATCTTCCTCCACTCCAGGTGAACTGAAGACCACGGCTCGTTGGATGCGCGACTTTGTCACCTCCCACCCTGACTACAAGCAGGATTCTGTAGTGTCAGAGAAGATAGCGTACGATCTCATGAAAACTTGCGACCTAATTACCAAGGAGAAGATTGTTGAGCCTGACTTGTTGTTCCCAATCATCACGCGGACACAGGAGTCCATTCCGCACGCAGTCAAAATAGCAGAGCAGCACTTGAATGATAAACACGCTGTGACTGGTCATCATCAGATCGACCATGTTTATCAGGATGGAACGCTGAATGGAAATGAATGATTTTTTATTTTGACTATTTTGTAATTGAGGCCATTTTTACAGTCACATCTCTTTTTTATTTTGTTCATTCTTCTAGTTAATGTAGTGATAACTGACTGAGACTCTTTCATTATTATTTTTATTATTATATTTTTACTTTAATGCTGCATTTAGATGGTCCTGCATTTAAACACCCATTTTAATTTTGATGTTCCCAATCAACGGAGAGAATAATTTATATCATTGCAGCAGGACTCTGCATGATGTACTGAAATCAAGTTCTGATTAACAAAGTCCATGCTCTGGGTTAAATGACAGCAATCTTTGCGGACTGTTTTTGGGAAAGACATTTCTAAACATTCAAAGGATTTTACAAATGTAAAGCTACGATGGCAACATCAGGTTGATTTATTTATTTAGAGTTTACTATTTATAATGTCACTTGGGTAGCTTAAGCATTGGATTGATGGTAACTGAAACCATGTTCTATGATACTGATGTTTGTTATGTCAGAAGTAAACGAGCGCCTTCTAAATGTTGTACGAGACGGATGAGGGCGTTAGATAGACAGGGAAGCCTCTCAAGCGAGTAATATTTGTGGAAAAATGACAAAATATAAGATTCCAAAGCAGTTCACCAAACATACAGACATATTTCACAGACATGAAAAAAAGGATAACTGAGCAGTGAAAAAAGGTTTTATTGTTTATTAATAAATAATAATGTGTTATAACTACATTCACAGGTTCTCAGCTCATTTTAAGGCTACCAGTAGAGCAATACTGTGAAAGGCTTATAGGTTGCTGATGTAATAATCTTTTTATAGATTCTCATCCCCATTCATTTTAATCATTTATGATTTTATATAGACTTTTTGAAGGGTCTAAGTTAATATTTGTTTCAAAGAAACTTAATTTAGTCACTGTAGTAAATTGCTTTGAGGGACCAAGGTCTTATACTGCTGGAAGTTATTTAAACTGATTCTGGATATTATAGCGACAGGAATAGTGTGAGAAAATGAGCTCGGGTATTTACGCAATAAATTTGAAGTGTGAATTAATAATTTCTGCCCCCCCCCTCCACCCCCACCCCCAGGAAAAGGATTTAGTAATAGTTGATAATGCTGATTTGAAAGTTTAAAAAGCTGTGTTTCCTATTTAAAATGTGAAGCTTATTCTAGATTTGCCATATCAGAGCTGTAAGCATTTCAAATACTGGTACTTCATTTATACATTATTTGTATATTTAGTTTCTTTGGACATGACATTTATGGTGCCTTTTATCTCATTTTAGTGCAACTGGGTTCTCTTGGAGAAAATGTGTTAAGACAGATATACCAGTAGTGATATTTAAAAAGGAATTGTATTTTGTAATGAGGCATTGAATATAAGGGCATTTTTTATATTGGTTTAATTTATTTATTTATTTATTCATTTATTAGTTTCTTTGGGAGTTAAATTTATTTTGCTTTTTATTTCCTTTTACTACAATGCTTTAATCCTCAGAAAATGTTGTAATGGGTGAAGTCATAAACAAGAATTTAATGGTATCATATAAAGACATTTTCTTTAATTTATTTGTGTACTTTTTATTTTATTATTTATTTGCAATTCTTTATTTATTTATTTATTTGTTTGTTTAATTATTTAATGAAAGCAAAACAAGTTTTAAAATTTAAATGCATTTTTATTGCAAATAACTTGCATTGTGAAACACAACATGATCAAATTTTAAATCTCCCATAGAGTATGGTAGTGGTAAAATCAGCTGGCATTTATAATTAATTGTTAATTATTCCCAGATGTAAAAGAAATGCTAAAATAACTCGAACAAATGGAATAAAACAGAGACAGGGTATATTTAAAAAGAAAATATTGTTTATTATTAAAAGAATATTTATTTTCATCCCATTGTTCATCAGATCTAAATACACCACCAGTGAAATCGTAACAAAGAAAGTTTTAACTTCACATGAAAGTTCCTCACATGTTCACTTTTTAGCAAGGTTTATTTCTCAGTCCTGCATGTGCTCTCGTTGAAGTTCGTTGACTATTGAAGTTTGTTCAGCCAGTAAAGAATAATAAGTAAAGTTAAGGTGAATGCTGTCTATTGTATATCTGCCATAAAAGTTTTTTTTTTTAATTGATTTTTTTTTTTTTTTTGAAAGTTTTTGTTCCTTTCTGCAAGTCACTGGCATCTGTCATACTGGTCTCCATCGAGTGTCCCTCTGTTACCTAAAAATAGAAATACAAGTAAGGGTGCATTCAGAACACGATGATCCGCAGACTTGCACATTGTAGGATCAAATATGGCTGACCAACTTGAAAGCTTGCTGCATAATCCCCAAACAGACACTGTATAGATTTCCTGCAGGGATTACGCGGTAAGTTTTTAAGTGTGTCGGCCATATCTAATCTGCGGATCTGTAAGCCTGCGATTCAACTTTGGTTATGAATGTCGCCTAAATTGTGTGAAGTTCTTATGGAATCTTTTCCACTAAATATTTTTATTATTATTATTATTATTATTATTATTATTTTATTTTATTTTTTTTTTTTGAAAAATCTTTTTTTCTTCAAGTCGATGATAATGATAATTTATTTTTTCAATTGGACTCCAGTCAGTTTAATTGAGTTAGTTTTTACAACAAATGCAAAAATTACTGAATTTAAGTGCACACAAGACGTAATTGAACAGTGTTAGGAGTTAGTGACATGTAATAAAATAGTTTGGATCAATTTCTTGGAAATTTTTAAAAATGTTCTTTCTGCATTATAAAAAAATGGGAAGTTTCTTTTCATCTTTATTAAGCACCACAAACTTGTTATCCATAAGTTTTCTCATACTTCTTAATACTGTTCTGAATCAAGAATATAAAATAGATTCTGTAAAATAAAAAACATAGACAAGCATACATATGAAAAAAAAACGTCATTTAAGTATTAATCCTTTCAAATAAAAATACGAAACCAATACAGTTCAAAAATACATATTTATCAGGCATTGAAGCATTTTAACGTATACGTTTAATACTTTGAATAAGAATAAAAAAAGCATTATTTGACTTGAAGACTGAGAAACCTACGGGGCGGCCTAGATGGATGAAGTCCTGCCGCTCTTTGGCGGCTTATCGGCCTGAGCCTGCCAGTCATCGGTGGACCTTGAGACTGCCTGCTCTGTACACCCAGCCGTCTTTGCACTGCGGACTGCACTGTGGAGTACTCCCAATCCGGAGGACGTGCAAAATAATTGGAGGTTTCGGCAAGCGAGAGCATTTTCGGGGCGCCACATCTTCCCCCTTGCGTGGCTTTTGTGGCCTCGCGCTGCAGGAGCGCCTCCTCACGTCCGATTTGATTTTTCCCTTGCAGCAGCTGTGGCCTCAGGTCAAAGATGGCGACCGGAGTCACAGGTCTAGCTAACGGCCGTACTTTCTCAGGGCGTGGAGCTGACGGCCGATTGGGGAAGAGGGTATTACCTCTTCCCAGTGCAAGGGGGACGGGTGTTTTCGCGGCAAACCGCTCTGTGTGCTCGTGGATAAGCGGTAGTTTCCCCTCTCTACCGTTCTCCCTAAAAATTAAACAAAAACATTAAATGATGTGCTTAGCTTAATTTTTTATTTAATAAAATCCAAAAGCGCAAAAGAAGTGCCTTGTAATCAGAAAACCAGGCATATTATTTTTTTCTTTTGAAAGCCTCATTCAGTGATATACATGTATGGGTTGCGTAGACAATGGCTATTGTAATAATAATAATAATAATAAAATCGCAACATTTTAAAAAGTTGTAATTTAAGTAATGTAGATCTAGGCCTACGTATCCTCGGAGTTGTTACTTTAAAATAAAAATGGGACACGTGTTTTAAATTATGTTATTTATATTGTGGTTAGATCTACCTACAAAATATAGATCTACAGAGTTCTTCGTCAAAAAATATCTCCAATGAAGTTGTAATGACGTGACGTCATTAGGACGTAGAGCTCGAGGCACATACGCGAGCACGTCCCTCACGTCGCGTTTCTTACCATAATCATTTCCCCTTCTCAAGCTAAACTATGCTAGCAATAAGTATTATTACTGATGCATCTACATTCTAGATGTCATATATTATCCAAGCTATCGGCCCCTAGACTTTCTTCAGGGATTATCCTTCGGGCTAGCACAAAGGTTTTCTAGTAGTCAAATAATTGCTCATTTCATACAGCCCTGTCTGCGGATGATCTAGTCTAGATGTTTATTAATTATTATTGATTTTCATAAGGTAAGTCATTTTGATCCTTACGAATATCAAATGCACCTCGATTTGTTAAAATTTCTGTTCTAATTCCTATCTCCTAGCGCATTTTAGTAACAAGACTTAAATGTTACCTTCTGTGCGGTAAAGAAAACAAATGAAAATGTATAAATTCGCTCCGAAATTTAACCAAGTGTTTCACGACCTTTCTTATTAAAGTTGCTGAAATGTTGATTTTTTGCAAATCTCACATACATTTCTTATCATTGAATACGCTGATATAAGACTTCGCTTGTTATTGCATTAAAATACTATACTTACTCATCCACCATATAAATAGGTTTAATTTTTCTATTTGTCAAATAATTTGTCATTTTCACAACAATCGCACTCGGCAAAACAGCAACGTGACCTCACGTCAGACGTCAAGGCACGAATTGGCTAGTGAAGCCTAGTTACCATGACAACTAGCCTCGAAACAATGAAAGTAAATAATTTTTTACCAAAACATTAATGGTTTTGGTTGATTGTCCCAAAAATTACGACAATATCTAATCGTGTTAATTTTTTCAAAGACATCTGCCAGGTTTTGTGGGTAATTAAAACCTAAGTGAAAATCTCGATTAATCTCAATCCAGCCGTGACGTAATCTCATTTACTATGTTACAGAGCGTAACGTTACTTTTGTTCACCTGTGTCTGTACATTCCCAATAAACAGGGGCCTAAACGTATTCAGTTTCAATTTTGGTTGAAATTAAAATAGAAATATTTTGAAAGATCTTCCAATATAATCTGACCTTGCTGTTTACTTGGTTTCATGTCAATCACGACCAAATATTATTATCTTCAACGGGATATTCAACGCAAACATACTTAATGACTGGGTGTAAATATGTGACTTTTTTACTGATGTATATGTATATATGTATTTATATACGTATATATATGTATTATTATATTTACCCCGCTGTAAGCCTCCTTTTTTTATCATCCTTTACACAACTGAATTCAAAATGTGCATATGATGATTTTTGAGAGACATTTTTGTCAGTTTTGTTAGGGAGTTCAGGGCACGTAGCATGCACTCCATATGTAGTGTAAATAATAGTGTTTTTTCTTTCTTTCTCACGATTTATTACAGAGCGTAACGATACTTTTGTTCACCTATCGGTAGATTCCCAATAAACAGGGACCTAAAGTTAATCAGTTTCAATTTTGGTTGAAATTAAAATAGAAATATATTTGAAAGATCTTCCATTATATCTGACGTTGCATATGGGGATTAAGTTTTTTATTTTTACTTTGAAGTCGAGATAACAAAGCACCCGTCAATAAATATAGGCGAGATTACTTAATTTTTTTATCTCCTTCCTTGCAATTACCCCTTTTTTATCTCCAAATCTGAAGCTCGTTGAATATCATATAACCAACAAAAAAGTAAAAAGGCAACCAAAGTGTTTATATGTAAATTCTGTGGTAAACATCATGTACATGTAACTCTGTGTGTGTGAGTGTGTGTGTTTGTTTGTGTGTGTGTGTGCGCGCGCGCGTATGTGTGTGTGAAGCGAGTTTTCAATCCCTTTTTGCGAAGTTTTGATATATCTCGTGCTCAACTTCCCGGAGTGCCTCTTCTTTACCTATAGTTATATGAACACGTTACTGTTGAGGAATAACTTGTATTGGAACAAAAGAGGAAATGCGTGTTAGAATTCAAACAAGACTCGTTTTTAAAATAACATTAATCTTATTCAATGCAACCGTCAAAAACTTTCAAATCGATGATGCTAAATCCAAAGAATTTGTAAACTGAACAAATATGAATGTTTTTTCTTAATAAAAATTTAAAACAAATACAGGCACCGGTCAATTCCATCTTTATCTTACATATCCACAAGGGAAATTATAAGACAAAATAAAGATAAAACTATGCATTCAAGACATTAATTAGGCAAAAAAGAATAAATAAATAGATAAAATAATAATAATAATAATAATAATAATAATAATAATAATAATAATAATTAAAACAATGGAAAGTAAATTAAATTATTAAATTCAGGCACCGGTCAATTCCAACTTTATCATACATATCCACAAAGAAAATTATAAATCAAAATAATAATTTGCATTAAAGATATTCATTTGCATTTACTTACAGGGAAGTGTGGGAGGATGCCGTCCCCTCTTCCACTGAGTTGGTCTGGGCCTATGGTGTTTGGTTATCTACTAAAAGCTGCCCGGAGCGATCAGTTGGCTACATGTGACCTGTCCTTGCCTTTGCACAATCATCTTTCTTGGAACAGCACAGCTCACTTCGCTGTATCTTGTGGACGCCCGAAGTTGTATGCAGTCTTCTCCAAGAAGAGCATTACACCTGGTGCGACCTTGACAACCTTG